CCCCAAAACCCCAAAACCCCAAAACCCCAAAACCCCAAAACCCCAAAACCCCAAAACCCCGACTGGTAAAATTCAAATTGAATTGAGTAATTTTAAAATTGGGGTTCATCTAATAAATTCAGGAAGTTTGGCTGCTGCAAAACACTGTGTCTGGTTCCCAAAGCTTTAGGAGGAGCCATCAACTTCTTTACTCCTTTAGTTCCTTTCTCAAAGTTTGATTTATTCTTCTTTGAAAGTGGAGGAAGCCCGGTTGGAGGTTTCTTTTGGTAGGAGAAGAAATCTGTTGTATCATCTAGTTTATCCTCTTCTTCATCAGATGCATTAGATGACTTTTCTGCACTATCCTCTTTATCTTCATTCATTCTTAATTCTTCAATACAGACTTCTTCAACTGGTTTCTCTCAGAAATTCTCTTTATCCTCAGACTTTGATGCAGTTTGCTGTGTTGAAGTTTGCACAAAAAACTCATTCAACTTTGGAGACTGATCAGATTTCTTCTCGGCGCAAGGTGAATCATTCTCATTATTTTGATTATCTTCTTTATCGTTGTCTCCTTCATGATCCTCTACTTTTTCGTTATCATCGATTTTCACAGCTTGAATATCCTCTTCATCATCATCAGACTCCTGGACCAAAATTTCCTTGGGCTTGCTTCCTCTTCCAAAGAAATTAAGAGTCTTCTGGACCAAAACTGAGCTCCTCAAAAAGCCTCCTCCATTCTGGGCTGCGGTGTTGTTAACAGTAGTCTGTCTCTGTTTCTCTTTTTCCCTCAGGATCTTCTTGATCTCCTTATCTCTCTTCTTGTTGTTCTTGACTCTTTTCCTCTCCATTTCCTGAAGCCTAATCTCATGCATTGTCTTAGGAGCATGGAGCCCATCCTCATCACTATCAATATTAGATTTCTCACTTTCTGAGCTATCGCTATGGGAAGACTCAGTATCACTATCCGAGATAATAGTCAAGTCAATAGGTTGGGTGCCAATAGCCTCATTTTCATCATCGTTGACATCAAATGGGTTGGCTGCTTTCTGCTGTTTCTTTAGCTTAGCAAGTTTGTCTTCTCTTCTCTTGCGTCTTCTCTCAGCTCTGTCATTTTCCTTCTGAATCTTCCTCTTTCTCTTCTCAACAGTTCTTTTAGCTTTGTTATATTCACGGATCTGACGGTCCTTCAGAAGGTAATACTTTTCCTTAAAATCATGGATTTTTAAATTCATATGGATCAGGCTTTCTCTTGCGTCTTTGTCATTAGCACCTTCAAGGTTATGAATCTTCCTGATCTGCATGACCTTTTCACATTTCATTTTACCTTTAAGAGCTTCTTCAAACATTTCGATGATTACGTCAGTTACAATATCAGTGTATGCCTCACAATTTGTCAGCATGTCATCGAGTCTATCGAAGTGGCTTTTTGAAAGCTCAAATATAGCTTTGTCAAAGTCTTCATTCTGGTACTTCTTGTAGCTGGCTGCTTCAATCTCTTCTATAAACTTCTGCTCATCTTCTACATAGTCGTGGTTATCCTCAAGCTCTTTGAGCTTCATGTTAATATCAGCTAGTTCAATATCTGGGTCAATATCTATCTTGTCCTCTGCTTCAAATGGATCTTCTTTTACCTCATCCAGGTTAGATTTACGGCCTAAATTAGACGTTCTCTTCTGGCTGCTGTTACTCTTTCTCTCTTGAGTGGCAATACTTTTCTTCGAAGGAGGCTCTTCGTCCCTTTTCTTCTCAGCCTGTAGTACAAATTCATACATCGGTGAATTGATACCCTCAAGGTTATTCATAATAGTCTCTTCCATTTTGAGCCTTTGTGGGAAATTAATCCCTTCAACTTTCAATTCCCTGAAATACTTCTGGAAGCCAGGATATGTGTCTTGATACATCATAAACGTATCAGCCCATAACTGAAGCATGTAAAGCCCTTGTTCTTCCAATTTTTCTCGTAATTCTTTGCTCTTCTTGCTTTCCCAGCGACTAAAGAAGCCTCCTTTGCCCCTTAAAATTTTGAAACACTTCATGAACTCTTTCATAAACTCTTCTTGGGAAAGGTACTCGTGGAACTGGAGAGTTCCCTGTTTTGAAATTTGTTCGAGCATGAGGAGCGCCAAATAGCATCTCTTGTACTTCTCACTCTTAAAAACTTTGGTAAAGACTCCTACGGCTTCCTTGGCATGCTTACGGTCAGATTGGACTAGCTCTACTACTTTGGAGGTGACCTCCTCACATGGCTCTTGCAAGGAGTCTTTAAGGTTTGATTCGATCAGCTTGGTGACCGATGGTGTTTTGTCCATATTTAAAAACTCTATATATATTGTTATTAAGGGGTTTTGGGGTTTTGGGGTTTTGGGGTTTTGGGG